ATATATATGTAATTATTGTTACTTTATTTTTAATAAAATGTCTGCTAAAATAACTTGTTTATTTACGACTTTTCTCTTTTCCAATGTTATAAAATGTTTAAAATTAAAAATTATAATAATTATAATGTCTTATTGCACTTTAATGTCAATAATATATATATATATTTATACAATATAAATAGAGAGATATAATTTATATTGTATATATAATTTAATATTTACAAATATTTGAATAAAATAGTTTAAAAATGTATTTAAAAATAACCATTAACTTTTTTCTAATTTTAATTACATTCTATCTCAATTTTATTTACAACTTATTTAAATTCATTTCTATATATTTTAATCTCTATATTTTAAAAAATAAACTTCAATTTCCACCGCTAATAATTTAATATTATACTTAATAATATTTATTTAAAATGAAGAGCTATCAATTTCAATACGGTTATTTGAAATGAAAATATCTTAAGTTAGATATGTCACAATTTTACTTTTGAAATGATACACAATATCTAATTATTGTATCGAATACTAGCGGATGTACCCGGCTTCGCCCGGGTTTTACCCGAGTAAAAGTTTGTCTAACGAACATTTGTTAAAACAATTCTCTATAAACTTATAAGAATATATATATATATATATTGATAATTTGAAACTCGTAAATTTGAATCACTCGATAAAGTGAACATCTTTCCTAATTTTCTACATTACAAAAGTATCGTTTTATCTAGTGAACATTTTTTCCCGGTCCCTTGAAAAATACTCGACAACTAACTTTGACTTGTGCGCAAATAATAGGTAGAAAATCTTACTTTTGATAAATAATCTTTAAGATAATAAACCTAGTTATAATAAAACTTATAGATAAAAAAACTTTTTTTATCATCGTCGCAATGGTTACGCTGCTTGCGATTTAAATCTACAAATTTGCAAATAACTCTAAGGATATTCAAGATATTCAAGAAATTATTTTTCAGAAACCTTCCCAGTGTAACGGCAGCTGGCATGCCTATATAGTAAATTATCAGTGAGCACATATTTATCACTGATGATACTCTGTGCAGTTGCCTTTTGACTGATTGTAATATATACCACATGTAAGCATATGTCTTATAATTAATATGCTATATCTGATGTTGGCCTAAAAGAAATAAAGTCTTTCTTTTTAAACTTCCAAGTACTTCTTGCTGATTAACGTCAACCAACAAATACAAGGACGTTACACCCAGTACTATAATAAATAACTTCCCAAAGTTTCATGGCGTTCCAATGAGTGGTTTGGTCAGGCATAAAGGACACACACACACACACACACACACACACACACACATACATCCATTTATATATATATACTAGCGAACCCGGCCACGCGTTGCTGTGGCTAAGTTGTAATATGTTAAATTAATATTATACTAAACTATTCAGTACAGTAAAGTTATAAAGTTAATATTCACTCATAAAGATAAAAATGTTTTAGCCGATCTAAAGCCCTACGGGATCGAGAATGGAACGTTACGTTAAAATTTGAAAGTGATTTTTATATATATAGATAATATAGCCCTTTATAATCACTGCATTAATAAATGTCAGTGAACTTGTTTATATGTATTGTTTTTTTTTGTTTTTGAGATATTCTAATAGAACGTTCTCAAAATGTTTGTAAAATATTTATATATGCACAAACACAGAATTTAAAAATATGTCTTAAAATTTGCTATAATTATTGTTATAAATACTATTTTAAAATAATTCGCCAGAAATCGTCCCGGTAGTATACTAAACAACTTCCCAAAGTTTCATGGCAAACATCTAAAATAAAATAATACTTTTAATACTTTGCTACAATATTAAAAAGAGGGGTGCTTGGGTGTTTAAAATGTAAAATGTGCTCTAAATAGTATTACATAGAGCCTTCATAACAAACATATTTAAAATAAACCAATTAAAATATAATAATGCTGTAAAAAAAGACTTTGCTACAATAATATAAAATAAATGAAAATAAAAAAAGACACCCACGCTGAGCCTCGAACCTAGGTTTGTTATAAATATTATTTAAAAATTGTTTATGTTAATTTTTATTTTAAAAAGCCTACATTTTAAATAAAATAATATTTTTAATAATTTGCTACAATAATATAAATAAATGGAAAAAAAAACACCCACGCTGAGCCTCGAACCTAGGTTGTGGGGGTACGAAGCTGTGTACCTAACCTATAGGCAAATAACACGACGGATATTCGGGATAGAGACCTGAAATTTTCTCTAAGAGTTTTTCCAGATTCTATTTTATATACTGTTAAAATTTGAGTCAGATTAGGTACGTATTGTGGACGTGTATAGTTGACAAACATACATACATACATACATACATACGCTGACATTTATATATATAGGGATAATATAAATGAGTTTTAAAATTGTAAAAAAAAAATACATCGGCCGGGAATCGAACCCGGGCCGCCCTCGTGGCAGGCGAGCATTCTACCACTGAACCACCGATGCTTATAAGAAATGGCCATATTTGGGTATTTATTCCATTCACAAGAGCAAACGATGACAGAATTGATTGTTAATGACTCTGATACTTATATATTAGGATTGTTATATACGTTTAAATATATTTTGGAAACAATATTTTTGAAAAAAAAATTAAATTTTTAATAAGGTGTTTTCTTATGATATATTTAAAGCTGATATTTTTAACAATAATACACAATGTATTTATTTACAAATATAGAAATATTTCTAAGTTAAACATTATTTTTTAGCATGCAACCTGTAAGCTCGTGGGTAAGCCTCGTAGAGTACGCGCTCGCGCATTCGCCTCTGATACAACTGTATAGATGAATGTATTTGACATTCAGTCGTTCTTGAAGCGGTCGAACGGGATAAAAAGTATTCTAAGCTACCTCCACATCAATTTTCATCCAAATCGTTCCAGCGGTTCTTGAGTTATAAATTGTGTAACAATTTTCACGACTTTCTTTTATATATATAGAAATTCTCCAGCGGAGTCTATACATTTTCTTAAGCGTTGAACACACGCTATAAATCCGCTTTGGAAATATGTTCGAGATTGTTTTCAACCATGTCTTTTTGGCTCGTTTTAATTCCTATAGGCCTTCAAATATTTGTTTCTTCAGACCTTTTTTAATTGGGGAGAATGAATAGAAGTCACAGGGTGCCTAATCTGGGCTGTATGGATTTGTAGAACCAGTGAAGTGAACCAGTAAAATTCTTCTGAATCGATTAACGAGAATAAGATACCTATTCTATCTTTCAACCACTTGTACTCGCTTTACACCGCACCCCTCCCCGAGACACGCGTCGTCACTGTCGTCAGACCGTCGGAATCTCTCTAATGACGCCGTCGTCGGACGTTTCTATGTAAGTTTTATTTCGCTTTCGAAGCAAGATATATTGGCGTCTTCACCAGTGCTTTGGCTGTGAAGACGTATATTTTATTGTTTCAAGTAAATAGTTAGAAGTGAATCATCTTATCAAAATTATGTATATATATGTTATGAAGTCCTGGTAGCCTCTTGTAGAATCCTGTCGACTAAAACTGTGGTGAGGTATCCAGTCGTCTTAATCTATGGTGTGAGTCCCTGTAACACTCGCTATACTTTGTTGACCGAGAGGAACAGTCAGGATGAGGAGTTTTCCAGTACCTCTCTGCACCTTGAAAGACCTTTAAAAGTTCTCACAAAGTACAGGCAGTCGTGGTCGAGGCAGAGTGGAAAGCTTGGGAATGTCCATACACAAAAAAACGAAGACACAGTTGCACTAAGAAAGTTCCGTGAACAGATAAAAGTTGAGCTAGGAGCGAAAGATGGAGATAGAGGAGTTCTTACTGACTACATGGTGGATGAGGTGGACCTGGGATACTGCCGACGAGGGCTCACGCAGCTGGTGAAGTACTGTCAAGTGACTGTATTTTTGGCTAAAGACGGGGGCCTTTTATATATTTTCCTGAGAAAGGGAGTATTGCATTTTACCAGATGTGAAGAGGGTGGATCGTCTGGTGAAATTTTAAACTGGCGCCGTCCTGACAGTTTCCAATCTATCTTTAGATGTTGTTGAACTTCTAAATCTATCTCGATTTTAGACGATTTAGACCTTTTGCGTTAGCTCAACTCTTAATATATTACAGAGTTTTATTTAATTATCCTCAGTTTGTACAAATTACATTACATATGATGATATAATGACACATGTCAACCATGCGTATAATCATTTACAGATGTGTTTCTATTATACAACATGAAAATCTTGTTATAAGTTATATACAATATGGGGTTGTTGGTTAAATTACCATATCTACATATGGTAATTTGAACCAACAACCCCATATTGGTAAATATAACAAGATTGTGTTATCAGGCTCTCATAAATAATGGTTGTTTGGGAGCGACCAATTGAAGACACCATAGCTAAGACAAATATTAGTTTATTTAAACAAAATAGGCACAATTAGAATCACAGCACTTATGCCAACGTGATGGTAACATTTTTATGGCATTTTCATAAAGGTCTGGTTGACTTGAGACCAGAAAATCCAAAAAGGCATTTTTCACATCTCTCAGGTTGATCAGTCGTTCTCCATGAAAATAATTATCCAGATGCTTGAAAAAAAATAGAGAAAAAAATAGAACTCCATAACCTAATTGAGCAATTTATTGTTGGGTCATATATGAAGAGTGTGGCCGTGCGTTATCATGAAGCAGAATAACGCATTTCCATTGACCAAACTAGGCATTTTTCTGACAATTTCAGATGCATGGTTTGCAAATCTTGAAAATACACTTCTGAATTTATCGTTTCGCCGCTATTCAAAAATCTGTATTACAAAAATCCAGCATATGACCACCAAACAATGAGCATTATACGCTTTCTATGCAAGCTTGGTTTGGCGAACGGTTTTGGGTCCTCATTTTTGCCTAACCACTGCCTTGATCTCTTCCTGTTTTGTCGAAAAGAACCCACTTTTCATCACACGTAGCAATTCGTTTTTAAAAAGGAGTCAAATTGTTGCGAGCCAACAAATAACTGCAAATTTTCAGACGTCGCTGACGTTGAGCATCACTCAAATCTTTTGGGACCCATTGTGGGAATTTTTTTGTTTTGTCAATTTGATAAAGATATTTCGCAATGGTTAATTTTGAAGCATTAAGTTCTGCACTTACCTCACGCACTGTTAGGGTATTATTGGATTCAATATGAGACTTTAGATCGTCATTTTTGAAGGTTGACCGACGACCACGACCATCTGGATCTACAAATCCGAAATCGCCAACTTTAAATTTATGAAACCATCTTCTTGTGGTTCTTTCGGAAGAAGAAGCTTCTCCCCAGGCCTCTATAATGTTTATGGTTGCCTGGGCGGCCAAATGTCCAAGTTTAAATTCTTAAAGCAAAATAATGCGCAAATTCCTAGGTTCCATTGCTCAATATTTTTAATTATAGAGATATTTTTTATCTTTCGTTAAATTTAGGAAAAGAATGACTGCACGTGAATGCGCGTGCTGTAAGCTTTGAAACAATTTATAATTTGCATGTGTTGACAAATTATTTGTAATACCTTTTTTTAAATTAAACATGTTTTTCCAAAAAGGGCCATTATTTATGGGAAACCTGATATAATAGAAACACCTCTTTAAATAATTATACGCAAGATTGACATAAGCCATTGCATCACAATATGTAATATACTCTGTAAGAACGAGGCTTATAAATTTAGGAAGTTTCCAGAAAGTCGTTAAGAGAGTACATCGACCTCTCGTACCTGATCCATGCCCTTATAGCATCAGATGATGGCCCAGTACTTCCTCATCAGGCGGATATATAAGGCCATGCTGCAAGGCTAAAAATCTTATGTGCTCGTGGTCAGGATATGTCTTTTTGAATTTAATATATGTTGTGAAAATGAATAGTGGAGCCGACAACGTCACAGTAGGCTCCTCATCCAACATGCAGTCAGGACCGGAGGTTGAGGCGCACTAGCCTTAAGACAAATGAAGGCCACATGCATAGGAACATTATTTCCTCGGTTTTGGGATGGTTCCCGGGAAGGATGAGACCAAGGGGGAATCCTGGGACTGCTCTGGTCAATCGGGTAGCATGGTGTCTAAAATACATTACTACCCTCCTGGTGTGTCTGTCTGAGTACCTTCTTTTCTGGGCTCCGAGCCCCGGCTTATATCATAATGGTGACGACAGAGGGGGAGAAGGTCGGCGTCCAATCAAGAACCGCCCCGACACCTGTCTATAAATTTATCTTGTTTATATTTTCCTTCCCGGCTCACCGTACCTTTATATCCCGGGTATCCATTTTGTAGTTACACATGAGCTTGAATTTATATACAACATATGAAAAATAACAGAAAAAATAAAATAAAAATATCAGGTATTGATATTAAAAATAAAAAAGGCATATCCTGACCAGGAGCACATGTGCTTTTTAGATGGCAGAGCGCCATCTAGTGGAACAGAAATCAACTTAACATTGATTTAACCTGTTCCCTGATATTTGGCTAAACCAATTTCTTGATAAATCAATAAAAGCCATCCACGAAAGAGTTTCGCGCTGGATATGCCTTTTTTTATGTTTAATATACGATATACAATACGACAGATATATATTTGAATATATAATTATTATAAATATTTAATCCATATATATATATAAAATCAATAATAATTTACTGAATTTATATTAAATTTTTAATATTTTTAAAAATATATTCATTTATGAGAAAACGTTAGAAAAAAAAATAAAAAGGTCAGGTGTTGATAATAAAAATAAAGAAGGCAATCATGACAAAAGGCACATGTTATTTTGGTCAGGATCGACTTCTTTATTTTTTTAATATTTATATATATATTATTTATATACCCTATTCATCTATATATTATTTTCATTTGATTTGTTAACCATTGATTGGAGTAAAAAAATAAATTTCACAACCTCTCTCTTCCATCAAACACGTGGACTGTTGTACAACTAACTGTTCGAAATGAAGCCAGCCTACACCATGAGACCCCTCCCTCAAAAGGGCGTCTTACTTTTTTGCTAGTGTGATAGTAACGGGTCCCAGAGGTTCTTTCTAGATCAAGACTTGTCAAGAATCAGTATCTAGGCTGAATCTTGACTCATCGTTGAAAATACATGAACCCACTGATCCTGGATCCAAGACTGATGTTCACGGCATCAACTCAAGCAGCCTCTCCTATTATTATTTTTGAGAAGATACATGTAAGATGACGTCTTGCATAAAGCTAATTTTTGAAACCTTCAATAAAGAGTTTGTCTTGACGCTTTCTCCAGAAGCCTATGAGAGCTCATTGGAAAGCTGAGTATCTCTTATTACTCCTTATGACACTTAGCAGTCAGAATCATGGGTCATGATGGATCTTCTTCGGCTCTGCCTTGGTTTTCTGATGATGGTTTCATATAATTGCCTCAAGATACCATATTTCTGTTCACATTTATTCATTTGGCA